CAGTCGTCTTAGTGGTAAAGATATCTAATTGGGTAAAGATACTGGCAGTGGGTTTCAGATTATTTTCAATCATTGAACATTATGTTGCGATATCACGTTTTGGATGAATGTAAAAAATGATACGTTATTTGAATAACAAACAAGTATAGTGAAATTTGTAAGTTCTTCCGTTCGTGCTAATACTAAGAATGACTTATTGTCGCACATAAAAAAAAAATATAAGGTTTCGCACAAACGGTTTCCCATATGGCTTTTTTGAGTCGGATCAACGCAGTAATGCGAGTGTTGCTAATAGAATAAAATATTGCGTGGCTATGGTTGTACGAAGAATTTAACTCGGCAAAGCAAGACGATGATAAACCATTCGAACACGGGGTAAACACGCCGAATTGTAAAGAATGAACTTCAGGACAAGGGAAGGAAAGGAGAGTACACAGGAGGTATGTACGCACTGACTTGGCATGCGGTTTTTGCGTATACTTAAGGGGGCAAGCACACAAAAGCAGTGACAGCAAATAACAAAACCGTGTTATTTCCAAGTAGAATAATAAAAGCCGAGGTAACGAAATAACGCTATTGGCTCGGTGTGTTTTTGGATTTTATAATTTGACCGAAATGATATATTTTCAAGATATGTAAAAAAGTAGTCCATGAATGTTGTCCACCAGTTTAGAGTTAAGATGTCGATTTTGTACCGGGATAAATTAGCAAGCGACGTGACGGCCATGAATAATAAATATGTCCAGTGAAATCCCTTAACAGCGGACACCCGAGGGGAATTAAAAATTGCCTACTATTGAGAGCTGTGTACATACGACCTATGTAAAATCATACTTCATTATACAATAATGTTTATGGCTTTTCCCCTTTTAGTAACTAGAATAAAGAGGGGGGGAGGGTAGGAATTTAAATAGTAAGCTATGTATTTAAATAGTTATTATGTTTATTTAAAAATATATAATTTCTACAATAACATAACGCAAAACCCCAATGCACTTTTATCCGAGTTCGAATTGTATGTGAAAATTCTATACATACAGCCTACAGATTATTAATAGTGGATTGATTCATTTCTAACCCATACTACGTTGTAGTAGAGAAAACAATAATAATTGTTAAGAGGCGTTTTCGTAAAATAATTGAATGATTATATAACAAATAAAATTATTATTTTAAATTAGTAACAAAAAAACTTAAGTTATAACAAAAATTAATTCATTTTTTCATAATTTTAGTATATCATAAAAAAAAAAGATGGGTCATAAAAATCTGATGACCCTGTTTATTCCACAATACCATTTTTCATGATATTCAAATATTGTTAAAAATACAAATGTGTCTTTGTATTGCTAAAAATGGTGCTCATAATAATAAATAAAGTGTTGATTGTTACTACAATGATGAATGATGTAACCAAATTTGTATAGCAATAAAAAAAATACGCTCTGGCCTTTTGGTATTTTGTTTTATACTTTTCTATTTAAAAGAGTACTTAAAACAATTTCCAAAGTTTTATTTCAGACATTATTATTTAGACAACATTTTCATAGAGACCGAAGAAAATATTAATAAATCTACTTGGGTTTTGCTATATATTATACATTTTTCTACATAGATGAACTGAAAAATGTATTCTTCAACTAGGCACATCAACAGAGATTCTAAGACATGTACATACACCATAATATAAGTTAAACATATACACGGGGCAATGAGGCAAAGTTAAAAATTTTTGATTTCGTAAAATATGTAGTATGACAATAATGTATCAAAGTTATAATTTTAAAAATGAAAAATAAAAACACCACTTCGAACATTTTTTAAATTTAATATCACTTATCTCCCGCCCACGGGAATTTGTACGAATTAGCGCTACCAAAGCGCTTATTTATTCCATTGAATTATTAATTGGTTAACCTTGTGTTTTTCGTTTATTCCTGAGAACTCTTCCGGCAGTAATGCTTTATATTATCTCGGCTCGAACGACTCATTATAAAGTTCAAAATAAAAATAAAAAAACATTTAACAGAAAGAGTTGATTTCCGCGCCAAAACCCGAAGTCGAGGCTATACATATTTTATTAGCGTTAATGTTTACTCTCGACTTAACAGACAAACGCCTTTTGTATAGAACCCGCCGGCACCGATGACACAACACACCCTGAATGAACTCATGTTGACACGTTCTCCATGCCCTCGGGGGTGGTGGGAGGTGGGCATTTTATAATGCTCAATATGGAACTCGAGAGAAATAAATATGAAATCGTTTGTCGCGGGATAACCAGTGTGTTTCCGTGTACGATCCAAAGAAAAAGTCTGGCGCGGAAAACCATTACCGGCATTTTATAATACATATATAATTTACCGATGGTGTAATGCCGACATGATAACGAATTGCCGGCGTGAAACGTCCGGCAAATAATAATATTTAATAACGTTCGTGACTGGCAATATATATATATATTCCGCTCGATTGAATAGCAGCGATTAATAAAAAAAAAAAACAGTAATAATAATTGTTTAACGGTCCAATCAAAGCCACACCAGGTTTCCGAAAAGGGTAAAAGCGCTTTGCGTTGGCCCGTGATAATCGCAATCAAGTATTAGAAGAAAAAAAATACAAATACTACTGTAAAATAATATTGTTTTCACCCGTGTAACAGCAACATATACTTTTATGGGCAGCAGCCGACTCCTATTATCCACCGGAAACAATATTGTTCGTATTTTCCCACCGCACTGACTTGTGTCCAGCATCTTTAAACCTTGAGGGCAATGCACGTTTCTTGAGATTTCCACTTAACTCGTACACACACCTAAAGTTGACTTGTACTCCACCGCAGCTGATACGTTTTTGGCCGGTTAGTGGCTTTTGTGTTTCCGGCGCAGTCTAGACTGGAATAAATCAATGTTATGTCACAATAATAATTAATCTTACAAGGCTATAACGCGCTAGTTGAATTTAGTGTTTGATAAAACGATGAAAAAGTGAAACTTGAAGCTTTGGCTGGTCACAGCGGAGGTAGTTACACGGTTGATGATGAATAGGAGGTATCCGAATACATTAACGGTACTTTGTATTACTGACATCGATTAACCGTCAACTTATACGGGTGTTAACGGGTCAAAGTGTTTTTTTAATCTTTTCGAATATATCATAACCTTTTTAAAATAACAACAATGGTCGTGACGGTTATTCGACAACACTTGTCGTGAAAGGATTGAATAATTGTGAAAACGTTGTAAAGAAGCAAATATCGCGGTCGAGAGCAATAAATTTAAAAGGCAAGGAAGCCGGGAGAAGTATAAATTTGATTAAACATTTCACGTCTTAATATTGTAACTAATTATTCTTTATGAATAATGTACAAAGTTTTATTATGATTTTTTCAATTTTATTTAATATTATACAAAGCCCAAAGAGCGTTTCGTCGAAATCGTGTTTGTTTAGTCGTATATTTTGACATAATAACTTCATATTATATTGCGCAGTAAATACTAAAACTATGAAATAAAGTTCGTTCTTCGTAGTATGGTCAAAATCTATTAAAATATCTTCAAATGAAAAAAAACTGGCACGTCGCGTCGGTTTCAATTAAACACTTCATCTGTTATGTTCTATTGTATTTAAAAAATGTAATTAAAAAATACGAAAATTCTTCAAGTATAAACTATTATTACAAATTATGCGAAACTCGCATAAAGTTAATTCGGTGTGCACATTTTTTTTTTGTTAAACATTTTTTAAAAATAAAATTAATTTTTTGAGCTAATCATCGTTTACCTAGTCTAAACAAATTCATTTTGTATCATGTTCAGTATTTACACCAACAGTACTATAATTATGCATGAAAAATAATTAAAGGGAACGTTTCTTTATTGGACCATAAAAAATTACATTGTACAATGTATGTGCATTATTATTTTTTATGTTCATATCGATAATATTATAATGTGATTTTTTGCTGGTAGAATGAGTACCACTAGAAAAAAAAGTAAAAACAGAGCGGAAATAGTAAATAAACGAAACAGCACAATTTCTGTGAACCTTATTACGGCGGTCCAACGAGAATTTAATTTTTCATTAGCACGACATAATACTATGTCGTGTTACATTCAATTCCATTTTTAAAAATATTTTTTAATGTATTGCCCAAAAATGAGTTTTTATAGCAAGTAATATTGTACTGAAAAAATGTCAATAAAGAAATAGAAATAATTCAAAATGTAAGTTTAAAGCTGTCGGAATCCTTTCCAAATATAAATTCCACAAGTACATTCAATATGAAACTTGTTTTATGTCCAGCAGTAATACACTTGATATTAAATCTGTAAATCTCTCCGAGGTTCAAATTTCTAAGAGAAATCGTCTAAGAATAATATAAAATACACTCCTTGATATTTGAACTTTTTATTACATTATAAGTAAACGCGATACACTGCACGTGCAAGAGTAACGTACGTACAACGAAACAATGTAATTTGTAATACGGTTGTCGGTTACTAAATATCAATAGTATATGAACTTATCAATTATCATTGTACAAAATAAAAAACGTAAAATAAAGTTTAAAAATAATAATAACATATCCATAAAACCACTAAATTTTTGCTTGACATCCTTGTTTTGGAAAATAATACTATAATACTCATAAAACTATAGTAACTATGTTGACTAATTTTTAATCTTTTTAATATGTAAAAAATCAATAAACAATATTTTGCCCGGAAAATACAGTTCATTTAAAATGAAATTTCATAAGTTGAAATTAAAAAATATAATTACTTTTGTATTTACAACAAAAGCTTTTAATAAAACTCTAATACTATACATACTATGTATACCTAATTACATATTAACTAAATAATTGCACTTAATCCTATTAACATACAATTTATTTTTAAATTATAATTTATGTCATAATAAGTTTAATTATGAGTTTTATTTATAAACCCTTTGAAAGAATCTATTCTTAATTAGTTTAATATTATGTTTTATAGGTAAGTATTGAAGCAGTTAACTGTCGTTGTCTACTGGAAGCCTTACATACTGGTAAATAAATTACTATTTATTATTAGTTTTGATAATAAGTTTCATATTATAATATATTAAAGTAATTAAGTTAGTATGTTATTGTGGCGTTTACATACCATTATGCACTTAGTGCATTGTTAAGGAAACACCAAAAATCTTATTATTAAGTTAGTTTGGTATAGGTATTTTTAACAAAATTAAAATTTTACGCTAAAACTCTGGTCAATAAAGCCTAGTTGCTATTTAGCCTAATATAGCTTAAATATTTTGTCAGAAAAACACAGCCATCATCAAAACTAAACTTAAAGATATGTCTATAAAATCTCTTGTGATACTTCAAAAAAGTGTTCATGTAAGAGTAGACTATAGGAATTAGGAAGTTGAGAAAATAATAGAACCCAACTATGAATTGTTGGCATCCGTGAGATGGTACTATTGCCAGTAAGAATATATTAGGTAACTAGTGGGAACATCCCGTTAACATCCAACTCCCCGGTGCTGTAAAATATAATTTATTAGGAACCGATTAAAAAAAAATGTATTATGTTCTAAAAATACAATTTTAATAATTTTTTTCCGACAAATCATAATTTTATTTATAATCTTTTAACTCTTGTAAGATCTCATAATATTCATCATTTTTAGAGTATTTGAATTACGGATGTTCCAACTATTTTACTCAAAAATATTCATTGTAAAATATATAAATATCGAAAGTCACAAATATTTTTTTTATTGAATATTAAAAGAGCGCATTCAAAAAAAACATATTAGTTTAATGTATATAAAGAGAAATAGACCAGAAGGCTTCGAGTGACATTCGTAATAGGGGTTTGACAATCAAATGCATGTCAATATAACCTTTTATTTTTTATATATGTTTAATGATTTTTCATATTAAAAAAAAAAAATGAATGAAACCCATTAAATTTTTTTTTTTATATTGCTTTCATATACAAACGTGTATAGCAAGTACAAATAACTTCTCTCTTTGTGGCTCACAGTACTTTATATTACATTATACTCAAGACTCTGTGTAATATTCAGAATAGATTATATATATATAAATATATTTATTTGTTTTTTTGTTAACGGTTATATATTTTTACGTTAACAATTTTTACTAGTGTGGCTTGATTTTAATTATGTTCACACTTCACATTGTGTTACTTTATATCTATACACTTAACTAATGATTGGATCTTGAGTATAAAAAAAACGTGTTTATTCCGTCACTGTATTAAATGGGTGGTGAAAACTTACGATGGCTATCGTATATAGCTCTATGCACTTTCCTTAGTTTCAGGTTTTAGCGTAGTCGTAAAAAAGATGAAGACAAACCTAGTTTATCTTTGGAGTAGCCGTTAGTCTTTACCCGTGTCTTAAATCGTTATTTACTGACCTGTCTTTTATTCTCACGTTTAAGAATGCGCCTATGTGCACCATAACTAAGGAAAACAATGTACATCTCGTTCAAATATTCTTCATTATGAGATTATACGGTAGTTAAAATAAAGCGATTTGTTAAATACTAACATTTTAATACATAGATTTTATTTGACTTTCATTGATTTTATTAGTCGAGAAAACAAAAAAATATGGCATCTTTTGCAACAGCCTTTAGGTATATGGGTTGTTTAGAAGATTGCTTTTTACACTTTTTATTTTCATACATTAGGGTCGAGATTTTTTAAGATATTTTGGATGTTTTTCCAATATCCCAAAAAAAAAACATTTTCTTGAGAAATCGGGCCAACCGATCAACACGGGCCTTGTGGAATATTTTTTTTCGATTACATTTTTAATTTCTGACGCTGTTCATTTCATTTGCTAAGCAAGAGTTAAGGCGAAAAAAATCAGCACGACAAAAACGTTATAGTTACCGTTTCAAAACTTGTATGGCGTATAATTACTGAGGATTTTAGAAAAGCTGTTATTGTATACTTTTCACGTTGACCGTTTTATTCAATTCGAAGCAGAAGGCGGTTCCTGTAGTGCAATTTGAATAACGATTAAAATGTATTTATATTCTTTTAATATGAAGCCTACCAGGTTTGGTGCCATCAAAGTCAACAACCGATAAACAATTGCGTCGCGTGATTGGACTTGTAAGTTATACCTATCTACAAAAAAAAAACTATGCAAAGCAGTAAAGTCTAGGACAAACAATATGCTTATAGGTGGGTCACAAGTGTGAGGTCACTGATAGGTCCACGGGTCTTTGTTAGGTACTTTATCGTTTTGTGTGAGAATTTTCTAAAAGGTATCATTTATTGTCTTTCGGTGGGGATATTAATTGTACGGTATGTACATTCAATAATAAAAAAAGGAAAGTTAAAAAGTATTTTATAATGTATTATCTGCAAAAGCCATATTAAGCCTCTTGTAATATGCCATTGAGTTCCGATTCACCCTGTATGTTTTTTCGTACAAGTAATATGCCATCTCATTTAATATTCGAAACACGATATGGTATTTTCTTTCTAGAACTTTACACCTGACGAAAAAACCTCCCTTACGGTCATTCATTCGTCACATAATATACAATAGTTTTACAATCGATAGTTCGAATTTGTTATGAAATAGGAAACGTTAGTTATAGATATTATTCGCGTCATCACATTTCTTTAGTTATATATAAAATAACCTTTAAGTATAAATTGAAATACTGATATAACTATTTTCTTATTTTTATAAACAAATATATTGCCTAACATTATTTAAATGCTTTGTTTTTACGCAATACATTTAAAAAAACAATTAAAAAAATTTAAGTAAAGAAAAAAAATATTAATACGATTAAAACAATAAATGATAAGTCTGCGTTCAGGATGAATGATATTAAAATAAAGAATACATAAGCCATCCTTATGAAATGAGAATTGGAACTTTAAAAAGATGTGGAGAAGAGAAAGTGAAAAAAGTTCTATCTAATTAATTTCTTCTCATAAAATCGGACAACTAAAATTTAGACAGTAGAAAATTGTTCCTTATATAGTGGGTAGATCACTTAGAAAGAAAAAAAAGTAGGATGTTATAAAATTAATAAAATACAGCTCTTTAAGTGAAATTTGGATTTTTAAATACAGAAGATACATTTCATTGACGTTTAACAATGGGAGAGAAATATAATTTGGCAAAAATGATCACAGTGAAATCTGAAGCAATTCAATTTGTTCTAAATATGTTCTTAAATCTTAGTAATATTTCTTAAAGATAATTTAAAATTGTATGTACTCTTGTATGAGCCGGCAAATTGCATAGGCAATTTTGGTACTCTGGAATAATGCTAAAGACTTGTTGCATGATGTTAATGAAAAGTATCTTAACAACAGTGTTATCTTTTTTTTTCATAGTGGGGTCGGTGCAAAGTGGGGATGGGGAGGTCATAGGTTTATAGGAATTATTACAGCTGTACACTCTCATTGTAATCTGAATAAAAAACCATGAGATATTTTTAAAACAGTATGGTAAAACCATAAATAGTGTCCCTGTCGATCAGTAGTTGTACTGGGCACATTTTATTCTGACAGACAATAAAATGTGTCGATTAAGCTGTTAATGTATTTTTTAGATAGACGTAGACCGACGGAATCATATTGTATACGTACACATGATGTATATGAATAACTACTTTTTTGATTAGTGATGTATAACAAAATATTATAGTGTATTACGATGGGATCTCATGACGTACCTATAGAATAAGGTTCGCAAATGCATTTGGCAGATGGAAATATAAAAAAAAAACAGTTTGTCGGAGAACGTTTTATTAAAATAATTATATTATATGCACGGGACGGTATTGACGACCTTTAGAAATTCTCATTGATGATTGAACCTATGACCGAAGCACGTTGCATGCAGACCGCGTACACTGGTCGACATATTCCTGGTTATTATATTCTTCGGTACCCCGTAGGTTTTTGACGGTTGCTTTTGAAAAATTCAATATACTCAGTTTTGCCGGCCCTAGTGAAAATAATGATACCGCATTCTAAAAAAAAAAATCCCAGTCCGTTCGGTTAAAGTACATATGCGTTTCACGTTTCGACAAGAAGGATAGCGTTTTATCAAATCAGTACAAATCAGCGTTGGGTAAACCGTAGTATAATATATTGTTATGATCCAAACAGTACAGATATTATTCCGAAAGATTAATTCCACTCGGTTTGGCCGGCACACGGTATTTATAGTTATTTGTAAAACAACCGTCGCGAAAAGTAACGAGAGTTTGAAAAACACACAGGAAACGTGACATGGGCAAGAGGATAGTAAACAGCTAATGCCATTTAAGCTGCTCGGGGAGTTCCGGTAGACGCGAGAATTACACGTCTTGCGTGGAAAAGTTGTGAGAACATATTATTGTGTATAGTTCAGTAAGAGAGACTTTAAACGCCATTACTTTTGGCCTACCATGATTTTATTTATTAGGAAACAGATGGGTAGCTCTACAAAAACTGATTACATCCTTTCAGTTCGAATAAAGATACTTGGAAAAGTTACTCACATGGATCATGATTGACAAATAGGTGGTTCTTCTGTACAAATGTTTTCTGAATTTTTAACAAATTATTAATCGCACGATTTAAACACACGCTTTTTAGAACCTATAATAATATGACCGATACTAGTAAACATTTAAATGACCGCTCTCTCGGACCCTGTACTTATGACTACCTCATCATGCACAATCAGCCGGTTTCACCAACATTTGTTAAGAATTTAACTTATTGTTAATTAATATATTTAACAACTAGTTAGTGAAAATTGGGTTTCGTCGATATGTGTTAGCCTTAACACATTGTTAAAACGATTGTTAAACTAATCACCCGAAATCGGCTTGTTAAAAAGTTAATCGGCATGTTAAAATTTATTGTTGACCGAGTATACTAGTAATATATTATAATGAATTACACATTTGATGAGGAACTTCTTTATATTAAGTAATTAGAGAACAATAGAAATGACTTCAATAACCCTTTATTAGGTAAGCAGAAGTTATTTTATGTAGGTAG